GTTCCTACTCTATCATCTTAGATCCTGTTCACACCTTAGATCTGCCCAATCATCTTGTGGACTTCAGTCCGTCTGAGTCTTGTCCTTTTCCATAGGGCCTAGGGAAGGATTCCCTGGGCCGGAATTCCGGACCTTCGGATTTGTCCCCTATGTCTCTGTCCCAAGTCTAGGGATTGCTTCCCTAGGCTGGAGTCTTGCCTTTCCGGCACTTACCCTCTTTCTGGACTTAGGTCCACTTCCTGTCCCTCCAACTCTACCTTAGGGTAGTCTACCTCCATTTGCTTCTACATCAGACGAAGTCCGATGTAGCCCCTATTCCTTCCGGACCTCCGGACCTCCTGTCCTCTGTACCTCTGGACATCCTGGTATCCTGTCCTTCGGACGTTCCACCCTCCATACCTCCAGACCTCCTGTCCTCTGTACTCCGGACCTCTGGACATCCTATCCGTCCATCCTGTCTTCCTGTAGAAGTATTACCTTGCAGTGGGAACTCTCCTGAGTATTTCCTGCATCCCTCCAGAACTCTCCTGCACTCCTCTGGAAGTCCTCCTGCACTCTCCACCAGAGTAGCCAGCCTCCAGAAGTCCTCCAGACTTCATTGGACCATCATTGGACTTCCTCTGAAATGAAGGGCACATACTCAGGTAAGGGGCACAGTGTACGAGCTGAGGCCAAGCCCCTCTGAGTCAGTCTCTCTCTCCTTTGAGCATGGTTCTTAACACCCATCAATAATGGTATCAGCCAAGGAGATCCACTATCCATGATACTTTACATTATTTACAGCTCAGATTTGGTTGATGTTGCCAAAGCTCGACGAGGTAATGAAGCAATCAAGGAACTGACCCTCGCATTCGTCGACAACATGGCCTTCATCACCATAGGGGAAGACTTTGAATCCACGCATAACATCCTTGCAGACATGCTCGAGTGGCCTGGTGGAGGATATGATTGGTCTCGTGCTCACAACTCTAAATTTGAAACTAACAAGTTTGCGTTAATAGATTTCTCCATGAACCGCCAGAAGACTTGCCTGGACATGCACATTCAAGGTTCCATCATTCGGCCCACGTCAACACACCATTTTCTCAGAGTTATAGTAGACCAGGAGCTCAGATGGAATGCACAAGTGGATAATGCAGTAGCGAAGGGTACAGCTTATGTTCTCCAGCTATGTCTGATGCGCCAATTATATCAAGCAGTAGCCCTCCCAAAAATGCTGTACACTGCAGACCTGTGGTTCACCCCCTCCTTTTGGGAAGGGTCGGACAAGTTGCAGCGAGGATCTATTGGGGTAGCCAAGCACCTCACCTCGGTACAATGTATTGCAACACTGGCCATCACCGGAGCCATGCACACAACTCTGACGGACCTACTTGAAGTCCACGCCAACCTCCTACCCCTGTCTCTAACACTTCAAAACACATGCCACAGAGCAATAGTTCAACTCACCACCCATCCAAGCTCTCACCCACTGCATGGCCCTGTTCATCATGCAGCAAATCACTTCATCGGATCACACTGCACCTCCCTACACTGACTCATGCATCAATACTCAATTGTTCCCAGAGATATTGAAACTATCCTACCAGCTCATAAACCTCCCCAAGACTCGAACCGTCACAAGACCAGGATAGTGCCCACCAAGGAAAGGGCAATTGAGGAATGCACCCGGCTAAGAGACAACATTCAAGTGTACAGTGACAGCTCAGGATACCAAGGCAAAATAGGAGCAGCAGCAATACTATTCTGTACGGGTTGCTGCCCAAGAACCCTCCGATTTCATTTGGGCACCGAGAAAGAGCATACAGTGTTTGAAGGAGAGGCGGTTGGCCTCATGCTTGCCACAGAGTTAATTGCAACCAAGGATGACCTTACCTTCCCCATCTCCATACTGATTGACAACCAAGCAGCAATCCACTCCAGTGAACATTTCAACTCATGTCCAGGATCATACTTAACCGATTTGTTTTGTAACAGAATGAAAGACATTGCTAGAGAACATTGTGATTTCAAAACCACCCTGCACTGGGTCCCAGGTCACTCCAATGTCCATGGTAATGAGGAAGCTGACAAACAGGCAAAGAAGGCATCAGAAGGGAGACACAACAACAGCCCAGCAAATCATCTCCCCCCCCTCCTCCGACATGGCACATTACTGCTAAGTATATCAGCACTCATAGCAGCACACAAAGAATTCACTCATTCCCAGTGGGGGAGACTATGGCACAAATCGCCACACTACAATCACATCAACAGAATTGGCCCCAGACTTCTGAAATGCTCCTTTGTCAAACTCACCACAGAATTCCCCAAGCGCCTCACCAGACTATACATGGCCCTCTGCTCACAACACATCCCACTGAACCATCACCTTCACCGCATCAGCAAAGCACCATCACCCCATTGTCCGCACTGCCCAGCAATCAATGAAACCATCTTGCATCTCCTCATAGACTGCCCATGGTACCACCATGAATGTCACATCCTCACCTGCTCCCTAGGTCATAAAGCCTCCTCCCTGCCATTCCTCCTCTCAGACCCCAATGCAACCCCACACCTTGTTCGCTTCATCAATGCTACAGGAAGACTCAGACAGACCTTCGGTGAAGTACCTCTCCCTCACAAACTGCCAGACTGATCCAGCCTGTCCCATAGACGCGACCAAGTCAAGAGACCCAACTATGAATCCCCAAACCATATCTCCCTGTACCACCATCACTGTACCACTACTCCCTACACTTGACTACATGGAACCACATGCCAAAGAAGCGGTATCAGCCAAATGAAATGGTCCTTGATCAACTATTGCACCAGTTGAAATTTTACCTACCTCATCTGCATCCCTCCCAATTCCTGTACCAGCTGCCCTAGGCAGCTGAGTACGTGTTAAGCATATGAACATAGAAGCAGTACCTATAACATCAGTTCATACACAGTCATCTCAACAAAAGGTGGAGCGTCTAAAATGGCCAGCAGGAACAGTGGACTGATGGGGGCACACCTCACATCAGGGCATTTGCGAGCCTGAGATGCACCTGAGACACTGGGGGTCTCTAGTATAGATTGTAATGTCCTACATAGAGTATCACTCTGCAAAGGACAGAAATTGGACACAAAAAAAAAAAAACCACAATAGCTGCGCTCGTAGAGTTTGTGCTTGCTATTGCATTTCGAGTCACGATGTACCACGTTGCACTGTAAGTTGCGATCCTACTTCGAGTGACCTCCGGCTTACCAGTAGCTCAGACTTTATATCATTTCAAAGTTGTCAGGACTTGGTCTTACCTTTGGTCTCCCGCTGAATTCAGTGCTAACACAATTATTTATGTAGGTATGCTAATTGTGTGCTGGTAACCTGAATTCGCGGATATTGTTGAACAGGACGGTTGATCTGCATAAGACTGCTGCCATCTACGACGCTAGCATTCGAGTGCTTGTTGAGGAACGCCCTCCAGAAATTCTGCCAATGTGATACAAACACATACCAAGGTTGAGGCCACCATAAAGACGGATCCGCACCACCCGTACCGCAAGTCATCCCCCTCACCGCGTAATGACTGACTCGTTACCTCGGTACAATGATCAAAAGAACTTCTTGGAAGTATAAGTTATCTGTACTTATCTATTCGTGCAAACATAGAATCCTAGCTAGAAAATTATAGCGTAAACAAGTGTAAAGAATAACGTTAAATATCAGCTTCCCCGTAGTGTGGTGAGATTTGTCCAACCTTTACCTGCCTACAGGGAAGCTTTGCTGCTTCGGACAGTCAAGGGAATGCATGCCGCAGCAATCAATACGATGGCGGGAATTCAGCTGGAGTTAGAGCGTTGAAAGGGTAGCCGTGAAACAGAAGTTCCCGAGAAGATAAGGAAAAAGGCAGTACTACTGAAGGGAACATTGATCAGTTACAGCATGAACGATCGCTGCTGTGTCGGGAACAGAGCGGAGGTGCTGCAAAGATATTGGCACTAGTAGTAAGTAGCATAATTCCTAGTCTGGGCAACAGTAACATCAACAAACAGCATAGGTCGTGGAACTCGGATTGGAAGTATTTATCAATTCGAGTCGCACGACCTTGCTTTTCGTTGAAGAATTGAAACACGTGCCACAATAGGACTGCCACATCGATCTGCAAAAAAAGCGTATCATATCTGCCTGGGGCGATGTTTTCACAGCACAGCTAGAGGGAAGTGTTCGCCGAATTGCAAAAGGCCATTACACACCGAATCGCAAGGTAGCATTGCATATCGCAATCGACCCCGACATAAAAAAAAGTCACTCACCGCCCGTCGCACCGATGTCCGGACGTTCAACTTGGTTTGGACCCCAAACCAGACGTAACCAAGGAAACATGTCGATTTCTGCCTGGATCGCAGACTGGGTCCCATAGCTTGGGACTATTTCCAGTCGTCGAGCACGGACCTGGCGCCCACTGCCCAGTAGGTTGTCGTATTTGACTTGGCCCCGTCAGCTTACACCAGTAATCCGTGGAGACAGCTTTAAGGAGCTATTGATGTAAGAATATGACACAAATGGACGTACCTGGTGTGATAAAGGGTCCATAAGCCTCATGCCGCACCTATTCCAGAATTGAAGTACCTCGGATATAGAACATCTAACATGCACTGGTCAAGCAATGTGACAGGCGTTATTTTTTTCTGAATCCTAAAGGGGAATATTGTGGTCACGTAGAAGGTGCCGTAACTTTGACCAGCCCAGGTTGCAAGCTGAGGTACAAGGAACAATTTTACAAGTCAGGTCTGCTTCAAATTCGGTACACGATACTACCACGAGCCGCAGGCGTTTGCACAGAAGTGTAGCAGAAACAACGAGCGGAGCAACCGATCCTTGTGTTTTGTCTCAAAAACGGTTCATCCGGAACAATAGCATCCACACCGGCATCTATCTAGCGTTACTACCTGCTCCACTCCTGAACTGACCGACCCTTGACATTCTTTCTCGATAGCTGAGTTGCTAAACTCTTTCCACTCTCTCTACCATGGCCGACATTGGCGAAATTATCAACCTAAATGCCTCCAGGACGATCACGCCAGCTGCAGTAGGCTCTCAGGTAGCTCTGATGTCAATAATTTCGGTACGTCATATATATAGGCTTTCCCTCAGAATCCCGCTCACTCCTTCCAGGTCGTTACGATTGTGGTATTCAACGTATTGCGACCTAAGAACAAGGTATGCCTCTTCACCATACCACATAGCTATAACCTACGTACATGTCATGCAGGTCATCTACGAACCCAAGGTCAAGTATCACGTCGGTGACAAGCAGCCGCCGCGAATATCTGACTCCCTTTTGGGATGGCTACCACCTCTCATACGCACGAAGGAACCTGAGCTTGTTGACAAGCTTGGATTGGATGCCGTCACCTTTCTCAGATTCACTCGCATGACTCGATCACTTTACTCGGCCATCGCTTTTACATGCTGCGTCATTCTTATCCCTATCAATATATCCTACAACCTCAAGAACGTTCCTTCGGAGGACCGAAATATCCTTTCCATGTTGACTATCCGGGATGTGAAGGGTTCTTTCCTCTTTGCACATGTCGTGGTCTCGTACGTGATCTCAGCGCTCGTCATGTTTTTCGTATGGCGGCACTGGAAAGAGATGCTTCGTCTCCGGCAGCAATGGTTTCGCTCTCCTGAATATATGCAATCCTTCTATGCGCGGACACTTGCGGTCATGCGTGTACCCAAGAAATACCAATCTGACGAGGGCATCCGCGCCATCTTCGAAAGCGTTCAGGTTCCATACCCTACTACCTCGGTACACATCGGTCGTAAAGTCGGAAGGCTACCTGAGCTTATTGAATATCATAACACTGCCGTTCGCGAACTCGAGCAGGTTCTCGTGACATACCTCAAGGGCGGCAAAATAGCGAAAGAACGGCCCACAATTCGGATAGGTGGATTCATGGGCATGGGTGGTACTAAAAGGGATGCCATAGATTTCTATACGTATGTACCCGTGCTCTATTTGACGCCATATCGCTAACGATAACCAGCGCAAAGCTGAAACGCACGGAACAAGCAATTGAGGATTATCGTCAGCAGATTGATACCCGCAAAGCAGAGAACTATGGTTTTGCATCTATGGCAGCGGTTCCGTATGCTCATATTGTCGCTACCTTACTTCGAAAGAAGCATCCGAAAGGTACCGACATCGCTCTTGCGCCGAACCCTAAAGATATTGTGCGGTATTTAAACACTGATCCCTAAATATTTACTGAATGTTCAGCAGATATGGGTAAATCTCAACAAGTCAACTTCCGAGCTCATCCGCAATAAATTCATCGGTTCTTTGTTCTTGGTGCTAGTTTGTTTCTTCAACACTATCCCCCTGTTCATCATCTCTATCCTGGCAAACTTGAGCTCAGTACGATTCTTGCGTTTTGTTTAGTATTCGGTCAACTGAATCTCTTTTCTACAGATATCTGCCTACGTGGGTTTCCTCTCGAACTGGGCTCTTGCATCTCCGGGATCATTTGCTTTTGTTTCTGGTGTCGCGCCTCCTACCATTTCGGCACTTTTCGGTTTTTTCCTCCCCATCGTCATGCGTTGGTTAAGTAAATTCCAAGGTGCCCTTACTCACAGCCGGTAAGCTCATTTTGTCGCTGGTTGTTTATCGTTGCCTGGTTCTGATAGATTTATGGCAGACTTGACCGTGCTGTCGTTGCACGCTACTTTGCTTTCCTTGTTATCTCCCAGCTGATTATCTTTACTCTCATTGGCGTTGGATTCAGTCAGAAATCATTTTTGCTATCATCCGTTCTAGAATGCTGATGCCCATCTTGTAGTTGCAGCCGAACAGATTGTAACGGAAATCGGCCAACACACCAGTTTCCAGGATATTATCAACAATCTGCATAGTGGGTCACCCCGTTATACATCACGGATTCTACTCAAATTTTATAGCCTTGCCGAGTACCATCAATCAAACGTATATTAATCAGTCGTCGTACTGGTTGACATACTTCCCGTGAGCTTGTGCATATGTGCTTCACATGCAGATATACTTACGCATGTCGCCATAATATCAGACTCCGCGGCTTCTTGTTTATCTTCGATCTGGCACAGATCCTGAATCTTCTCTGGACGTCGTTTAAGACTCAGTTTGTTGATTCTTATTATTATCCGTGTCGCACGCACTGACACCAGATCTCAGTGTTTTTGGTCGCACACCTCGTGATATCAGAGAGTGGACACAGCCGCCAGATTTCGAGTATGCTATTTACTAGTACGTGCCTCATTTCGACATCTCCTTATTGATGCCGATGCCTTCACAACAGCGCGAATATCGTAAGTTAAGCTCGGTGATCTGATCTGACACCCATTCACATTTCACAGCTCTTCATGGCCACCGTCGCCCTGGTCTTTGCTCCCCTAGCGCCCTTGGTCGTACTTGCTGGTGCTATTGTGTTCTGGATAGGTTCATGGGTGTACAAATATCAACTGATGTTCGTCTTCATAACGAAGGTTGAGTCGGGAGGAGTGGGTTATTTATTCTCAATTTGTTATTCGAGTCGCTAATCCTAGTGCAGCGGCTCTGGAACATGATTATTAACCGGTTGCTCCTCTCAGTCATTCTCATGCAACTGTTGATGGCCCTGAGTAAGTCATTTTAACCATCAGAGGCCGCAGCTGCCGACTTACCCTATTACAGCCATCGGCCTCCAATATGGCTTCAAGTCCTTCATGTGGCTCACTACCGTCCCCCCAATCTTGTTCATCATCATGTTCAAGTTTCAACTTGACCGAACTTTCTACAAGAATTTCCTTTACTACATACCTTCGGAGACTGAGCTTCGCGAAGCAAAGGTGCACTCCTCGAGGTCAGATGTTTCTGGCAGAGGGTTGGAGAAGCGCTTCGGTCACCCTGCGCTTCACGCAGATTTGTTTACTCCGATGCTTCATGCAAGGATGATGCCACTCCTTGGGGACGTCTATAAGGGAAAGATTGGCAGTAACAAAGCCAAGCTGGATGAATATGGTGGTCAGAAATTGGACGCTCAAGTCATCGAGGGTGGCTTGACGATTGCCGCTATCGAACAGGTGAATATGTTTTGTCTGTCTCAAAATGAAATACTGAATATTCCAATTTAGCGCGATTTGGAATATGATCCTGCCCTTTACCGGCGTGATCGAGGCGAGCTGGACTGGGATCAACGGTCCATTACATCGACTGCGATCTTGGGCAATACTGGAAGCGGCGACAATGCTTCGCTTTACCACCAGAAGACACATCAATACGCGGGTTCAATCAATGGAGGTCGTGCATCTCCCGCGCCTCCCCCTTTCGACCGTTACCTCGCCCAGGGTCCATCGCAATCTCTGAATGATATAGAGCTAGCACGCATGAACCAGAGTGTGGATCAGTTGCCTCTTCTGACAGATCATCAATCATATGGATACTTCGATGCCCGGCAGCAACCACCGCCGTCTCCACTCCATGGGTACGGCTCTCCAGATCGGATGACCCCGCCATCTAGATATGGATCGCCTGCACCAATGGCAACGCTGCCTCAGATGCAATATCCTCCTCATCCCGGGATGCACCGGAGTCCCACAGAAGGCTACAGGGAAGCACCGCTACATCGCCCGTATCCTCCCCGTCGCCCAACCTCGACCTACTCAGTTGATCCATCGCAAAATATGTCTGGACGAGGTACCTACCGAGGGTAATCTACCAAAGCTTTCAGGAATTATCTCACGCCAGTACCACCATTCATTCAATATAATGTGCGCTACGACTAGGCTTACTCTGCCTTTTTTCAATCTTTCACGTCGTCGTTGTCTGTCACCTCACTTTCACTTTTATCTTGATTACGCATATATCATTCGGACTTGGACTAGGATAACGCAAGTACAATGGTTGCTTGGGCAGACAGGCTTAGTGACTGCATATACATGAGGGTGGGAGGAGCCCGCCGGATAGTGGCTAGCATTTTTTTTGCTGTACTTGTTGCATTATCTTACCTACAGCTTGTGTACGCGAACTTTCAAACTGCTAGTACTAACTGTACCAGTACTAATAATCGAGTAAACCTACTCGCTTGTTCATTTGACGTCGTCGTCATCTTGAACCTGCTGCATGTCTAACTTGTATTCGTATGTGAATGTCGACCACCCTGCTCCCAAATGTTTGGCTACCTCACAGGAGATTCGTGACCGTGGGTCTGCGTTCGTGGGCAACGTGTATCACGCTAGCACACCTGAAGAAGCTAAAGCTGCCATCTCCCACCACCGAAACGTCGTTCACGCTGGGAAGAAAGCCTACGAGATATCTGCCTGGAGATGTATGGTGCTGAAACATGGCAAGTCAGGGCTCGGGGGTCCTGATGACTTTGAGGTTAAAGCGGGATATGATGACGATGGGGAACAATGGGCTGGGAGCAAAGTGTCGAGGGTTATGCAACATGAGGGTGTACTTGACGCTGTTGTCATTGTTAGTCGATGGTAAGTCTCAGCTGTATCTATTCTATTAGGGGGAGTTTGTATGTTTACTTATCGTTCACTCACAGGTTCGGTGGGACCCTTCTAGGACCAGCTCGATTCGCTCACATCGAGACCTGCGCCAGTGAAGTATGTCGTACATTCAAACGAGTTGAAGAAATGGAAGAATGCATTTCAACACTTACAAGGCTCGACGATATGTTGGCAAGTCTGCGGCAAGAGCTAAACGACCTGACTCAGAATGTTGACTTGGCGACGAGCGGAAGCACCTCGGCCCGAACTGCCTCAGACGAGATCGAAAATGTAAAAGGAAGGAGAAGCAGACAGCCCGATTATACAGTTGTGCAGAGGGATCTCGACATCACAAAGGCGAGAAGACTTGTTGGTGCCAGGGAAAGTGCCGTCAAAAGTGTCAAGTCTCTGTTATCGAGAAAGAGGATAATGTTGGCGAGTACTGAAGCTGAAGTGTAGCACAATAATGCGCAACAGGGTCGAGTCAAAAGAATGCTCTCATATAATACGAGTAGTAGTAATCTGGACGCAGAACAAACGTAGTTGTGTACCAGAAAATGCATACATAAAATCAAAGAGGGCATACTGGAGAGGGGATCGAAGTATAATCCGCTGAGAGTTTTAGGTGAAGCTGGGAGTGCGGGGATGACATCTAGTGAAGTGTGTCAAAATTGACAAGGACGGCACAAGCTTTGGGACTGAGGTCGTCAGGCACGTGTTGAGTTTTAAAAATGAATCGCGCTGATGTCAAAGCAAAACACCCTTGATGTTACCTATCAACGATTAGTTTGAGGTATATGGGAGCCAAGTGAAGTGAGAGTCATTATCAAGCGAGAGTTAAGGAGCGACGATGCATTCCCAGTCTAATACAGTGCAAGAATCAGATAAGTTGATCGATTCTCGAAATCAGGCTGCACGAAGGAACGACCGTATGCCTTCATTCAATCCGCCTGATAGGGGAGACTGGCAAGTCACCAGTTTTGTAGACGCCATTTATTGCAGAATGGCTTGTGTTCCTGGTGGCTACCACGTGCTTGCTAAGGTAGGGAAATCTTTTTGTTGACATGAAGACAGGCGTAGAAGCTTCAGGGGTGAGCGCACTGCACACGACCTTGTTGCCCTTGAACAGACCTGAATCATAGAACAAATTTCAATTCATTGACAAATTGTCCGAATTATCGGGATAAACAAAGGCGCCCTCAGCGTTGAGAGTCAACTAGTCAACAGTCATGACCATTATAAAACAAAGACACGCTAAATGAACATGAGAAAAGACTGCGTGAAAGAAGAACAGATAGCAGATGTACCTCCGTTGTTAAGATATCAGATTTAAAAGCTACGAGCCTACGGCACAGAAAACGCTTAATCGAATTCTCGGTTTCCGTTCTTCACTATAGCAGCCTGTAGCTCCGACACCGCCGATACCGCCAGTGCAATGAGTTCACATGTTATCATCAAGATATCATGATAAATGCAACCCTATGAGATAAGCCGTAAGCGTCAAATTGGTGTAAAGAAAGTTGGCAACAATAGAATCAGTGGTGCAATGTTTGGCTATATGCTCTGCCGTTCGTCAAGGCTCATAGCTACGACTGGGGCGGCAAGCGGAATCATCATGAAAAAGTTTTGGGATGATACCCACCTGTACAACGATATTCATTAGTTCTACACTTGTCCAAGGCCTGAGAGAACTTCGGAGAAAGATCTAACGGAAATCCAATATTGATCCGGTACCCAAATAGAACGACTCATGTAGAGCCGACTTAGTCGAGCGTACTAGTGACGTTTGCACTTACCAACGCAGTACGTGCCGTGTAAAAGATATACAGACGATGGAGAACAGCGAAAAAGTGAATTTAGATGATACATCTGGTCTTCCTGTCCTCTCAAAATCGAAATGAGAGTATGTGCGGATGTTGTTCTACATGAAAAAATTGAAGTAGGAGATGTGGCTGCAACCTTAGATAATCATGTTTCTTTATTTTACTCGTTGCAGTGAGTGGCTGTGCAATCCGACCTTGGAATGTTTGCTCTGAGAGCTGGGCGACAGGCTGGCCATCAGCGGAGAGCGTATGCGACCGTTGATACCATCAAAGAAGGCAAGCACGTAGCTTCAACAGTGACTCCTCCGTGGTCAAGGCGATTCGAACTTCGAGACGAGGATGAGGAAGATACTGTCGGCCCCGCCCGGCGTACAGTTTGCATCCGCATGTCCAGAACGCTTGCAGGCGGGATGGTTGATGCGTTCGCTGTTGTTCGTGGGGTAGAGCGCAAATTTGGGCGGATACGTGAATACCGGTTCATACGGGTATGTGGAGTAGGGTGGTTTTTACAATTTAGTTTGCTCAAGCGTCATTAGGATGGAGAAGTGAGCTCAGAGTACCAGATGTTGTGTTGGGCTGCATTTCAGTCTGAAGACTCAATGAGCCTCATTCCAGAGAAGGGTATCACCATGAATGTCCCGGCTGCAACGCAGGATCCTACTATCCCCGAAGGGGGCCCGGGACTTGAACACCTTCAAGGTCTATTTGACGTGAAGGATGTATATTCTTCCAATCCCCCGGCATACTCTGCTGAAGGACCTTCAACACGGCCGAGATTGATCGAACTCAATGTTCAGCGAGCTGGTGTGTATGCTCCTACGCCTTCTCATCCTGCAACAACGCTGTGTGCTCACGACGTGGACAGCAAGCGACTTGCGTTTTAATGGTGATAACAGCCCGTTAAACCTCACGAAGGGTAAAAGGATTGCAATAGGACACAGTTTCTATGAGTGGGGAGGTTTCTATCCTCTGAAGCCTCTTTATACGTCATCCCCCTTCACTTCGCCATCCGAAGAACCGCCGCCTACTCCAGACCACCAGCAAATGCGCATTGCGCTGAACAAGTGGAGTCAAATCCTTGAGCGACCCGACCCTTCGTTTGCACAGATGAAGGCTGCAGCCACAGTGGAAGCGCAAGCAGATACTCAAAAAGACGTGGCAGCGGATTCGAAATCGCCCAGTGATTCATCGATGTCAACGATGTTGTCTCAGAGGAGTCGAAGGAGGACCAGACGCGAGGTGGAATCCTGGGTGCCACTATCGACGCCACAACCAACAAAACCGGATTTGCCACCTCCTGGCGCCATCACTCTCAAGAAGCACATAATGCCCAAGACTTCGCAGCCTTCGACGCCTAAGATTTCGCGCAAAGAACGTTTGCTCGAACAGGCTCGTAGCCAAGCTCGCGAACAGGTCATGCAGCAGGTTGCGCTGCGTGCCAGGGAAGCCGAATTTGCTGACCTCGAAAATTCAAATTCAGAGACACTAAAGGAGAGTGTCGAGGCCCTTTTGAAGGATTCTAATGTCGATGCAGAATCGTCAGGCGATCCGACGGATGGCTCTGAGTCTGAAGTCACGCCGAAGGCAGGAAACAAACCACTGAGCGAGAGCCAGGCCTCCCCTGCGAAGGAAAAGTTGTGGAACTTGGTTGGGAAGTGGTTTTGATCGATACTGCCAATATAGAGCTTTTCTGTTGTCGAATCGTAGCGGCGGCGACCCGCCAGTCCCCGACTCCCTTGACTGGTCAATTGCTTTATTTGATTCCTTCCGCTGAAGGTTTGTACACAACGTTCCACGATCTGTGCAATACATGTCTACTCGTTTCTGGTGCCCGGCTGGCTTTCCCAGATTTACGTTAAGCACCCATTACAGCAACTTAGGCTCCAGCTTCTTCCAAGTTCCTTCAGACATCCACGGGAACGACTTTCTGGTCAAAGTCATCCGTCCAGTCCTGTTCATGTAGGATCTCGTTGGCTTTAGTCCGCCCAACGCTTTTTGTATTCACAAGTCATCGACGTCGCCCTGAGTATCTTCATACGTTTGACCGGCCCATTCCATATTTCCTGCTTAACGTGCACTGTAACATCAATTGTCAGTCACTGCTCCACGTCTTTCTTGACGCGTGCGGAGGATTGGTGGCAGCCAAGGTGCTGAGCAGTGCTGTGCGAAGAGTGGGAGCCGACAGCGCACTTGGGTTATCCGCATGGCACAAAGGCGTATGAGCAAACTGGATCAGCATTTAATGTGGCTACAGGGGACGAATGCGTGTCCGAAAGAACCGCGCTAGGCCGACAGGCGAAGCACTCTCGACGGAGATAAACCCTACTCCATAACAGTTTATTTTTTTGAGCGTACAGAAAAAACAATAGGCTGCGATAAACTAGCATTCGCGGAAGGCAGATTTGGCAGCTCAAGCTCAATGCGTTTCGGGGGTCAGACCGGTCAGCGCTAGCTGTTACCACGCACAGCAAGTGACAAAAATATCATTGAGTATTATGTAATACATTGAAGGGGCCATGGGTATGAGGGTATACTATTGGTTACTATCATTCCGTTACGGTCCACCATTCCGTGAATTTTGTCTACAGCACTCAATGTTAAAGCAATTGCTTAGCTACTTCACTAAGTATATTCTACATACTATTGTAGCATGTTCCAAGTGAAAAAAATCAAATCTGTTAAGAAATGATGGAGATTGTGTTTTCAGTGTGACAGCAGCAAAAATCATAGATTGGTGTCACCTGCCAAAGCTGCCGACGTCGGACATTGAAATTAACAGCATGTTTCAATGCAGCTGCAATCCGTCACCTGTGAGCACTGCACTGAGCTGGGCTCAATCGCTATGTCATGGGTTGCTGCTGAGGCAAGCTGGCGGCGTCTACTGTCCCCAAGTATGAGTTCAGGATCCAGGCTGCACTCGAGGGTGTTACAAATGGCACCTACAAGAATTAAACAGTAGCTGCAAGGGTAAACAAAGTATGATTATTTATCTTTTGAGTTCCTGCGGTGCTAATTTCATTGTACAGGTCGCATGGCAGACTCTTAAAGACTGGAGCAAGGGTCATATGTCTTGCAAGGATTTTTCCTGGTCATGGCAGCTCCTCCAGCCATCTGAAGAGGAAGCTGTCAAGGATTGGCTGGCTCACGAATCTGGCGCTGCATGTCCTGTGCACCCTTGCGATTTACGTGCTTGGGTCAACAAGATTAGTGGAAGGATCCCTGGCAAGCATTGGCATCAGCAGCTTCAACTTCAAGCCAACCACCAGAACTTCCTGCAACCTCCAGTTCCTCCCAGCCTGGACACTTGCCACCACATTTCATACATCCGCCTTCTCATACTGGTTTCATCATTCCCACACCACATCCACCATATTTTTTGCTCAACCCCCACATCTGAGTCATGAATTTCACAATGCACCTATGTATCACTACCTAGATTTGCACACATTCCCTCAGCAATATTTTACACAGCATTAATTATTTGCATTTACTAGTTCTATATAATTATCTGTACATACTATAGCTCACAGACTTGCTAGTAGTATCCTAATTAACTGCTGTTAAAGTTCACGAATCACGAATAACGTCTGTCGAGCGGACTGTAAATTTGGCCAGTGTGACTGTCTGTTACTATTCGTGACTTAAGTGTGACTCACGGAATAGTGGACCGTAACGGAATGATAGTAACCGATAGTATTTCATGTGCATCAAGTGCGCTTCGTAAAAACGGCGATTTGATTGCGAGATATCTGAGAAAACAAATTAATATCAATGAGCAAAAAAGCGACGGCGACTTACAACGGACATGGCTGATCACGAGGACCTGATTCTTGTCAGAAAAAGGAAATCAATGTTTCAGGCATATATACGCCTGGGCGTTTGGAGCTCCCCACTTTGTGAAGTCGGTGACTGCTCTTGCCAATTACTGACCGGCGGCAGCCGGCAATTCGTGTAGCTCCGCTCCGGTTTGTCACTTCCCCGCAATTCATCCCGCACATCTTTTTAGAGCTTTCTGATCAAGCCCTAACTTACTTTCGAGTTCAGACGGCGGACCGTTTTCCGCCTCTCTGCCATTGAACGTAAGTATCGAGAATCGTAGAAAGAATCAAGAATGGCTACCATGCTCTCTGCGCGTACGGGTTCCGTTCGGCGACTGGGATATCTTCACAAGACGCCGTTTACACGCAACGGGAGTCGCGCAGGTTAGTAGTTTAAGAATAATTTTTTGGCTATAGTTGGGAACTCATATCGGCCCGGTAGCGTCAGGATATGTGAAATATAATCATGAAGTAAGCCCAATTCGCATTCAATAATGACCAGGTCAAATTAGACTACTGCTTGTCAGGATCCGTTGAATTTGGAATCTCTACTAACGGAAGAGGAAATTGCCATACGGTACGTCTTAGCTGTTGCATGTCCGGCGGATGTCAAGCTTATACTGACACAGTGATACTGCTCGGGAGTACTGCCAGGCAAGTCCGCCTTATCTACATTCAGAACGCTGTGTGATGATCCGTATGTTAGGAGAATCTCGCTCCCCGTGTGCTGGAAGGCTGGCGGACGGAAAGTAAGGCATGCTGTTTGTCCCCTATTCTTTACCTCATCATGGCGCGCAGAATTCAATCATGATATTCTCCCTGAAATGGGTAAATTGGGACTGCTTGGACCGACGATTCAAGGCTATGGCTGCGCTGGAGTGAGCAGTGTGGCCTACGGCCTCATTGCCAGAGAAATCGAGCGGTTTGTACCGCGGCTTTATCTCATCGTTGACTTACCCATGCACATCCCAGCGTCGATTCCGGCTACCGGTCGACAGCATCTGTCCAATCATCGCTTGTTATGCACCCCATCAACGAGTTTGGTACTGAAGCACAAAAGGAAAGGTATATTCCTCGGTTAGGTAGGGCTTCTAACTGTGACTGAGAAACTTGCGCTTATACTATACAGCCAAGGGAGAAATCGTTGGCTGTTTTGTATGAAATCACAGTACACTGAGATTTTGAATTCACAGTAACAATGTAAACAGGGACTGACTGAAGCGAATCATGGTTCCGACCCAGCTGGCATGGAGACAACTGCTGAAGAAATTGATGGTGGCTTTGTTCTTAATGGAAGCAAGACTTGGATATCAAATGCACCTGTCGCGTAGGTTCCGTTGTTCAAGTTCCATGATTGCCACTGATTTGCTGGCGAAACAGTGACATTTTTGTCGTCTGGGCTCGCTGCAAATGGGATGCCAAGGTTCGAGGATTCATTCTCGAGAAGGCAAGCTCCGCATTTGTTGTTCTACTCGTCTATCTCACTCCCACACAACTGGCAGGGTTTGAAAGGTTTGGAAGCACCAGCCATCAAGAACAAGGTTGCACTTCGGGCGTCGTTAACCGGTTCGATCTTCATGGACTCTGTTAGAGTAGGCCATGATGCCTTGCTCCCGCACGGACAAGGCCTTAGTGCACCTTTCTCCTGTCTGAATAGTGCCCGGTATGGCATTTCATGGGGTGTAATGGGGGCTCTCGAGGATTGTATCCAAAAAACTCTCACGTATGCACTTGAGCGCAAGCAGTTTAAGCGACCGCTGGCATCTTTCCAACTTGTCCAGAAGAAACTTGTAGACGCACAAACTGAAGCAGCTCTTGGTTTCCAGGCCAGTCTTCAGGTTGGCAGACTGAAGGATACTGGCAAGCTGGCCCCCGAAATGATCAGTATGGTAAAGCGCAATAACTGTGGTAAGGCCCTCCAGCATTCCCGGATCGTTTTGGATATTCTCGGAGGAAATGCATCATCAGATGAGTATGTCTATGGTATCATGCGATCGTCGTGCATGTGCTAACCTTATGTTTAAAGGTACCATGTCGGTAGACATGTTGCAAATTTACAAGTTGTGAATACTTACGAAGGTACGTGTCTTGCTCACCGCCACTCGGGGCAATCGCTGACGTGTTCGCCTTCCAGGGACATATGTTAGTCTTTAACACCATATTTTCCACGATCTTCTGAGCTGACAACCCAATCCCTCTTTTCACTCAGGATATACACGGTCTCATCCTTGGAAAGGCAACGACTGGCATTCAAGCTTTTGCTAATTAGTTCCATCGGTGTATTGCTTGCGAAAAATACATGTTCTTATTTTCTTATCTGTTGGAACATCATCACTAAGTCGATCTTTACAGGCTTGAAATTTTAACGAAAGACTACATGATATCTACCTTAGAAACATCGTCAGATGCATGGGCCTAACATTAACAATTTACCAATCGTAGACTGTAGTATGCAAGCCAAATTTTGGACTCGTGTACTGTGGTGGATTCAACGCATCGCGGTTCGACCTTTCAATTTTTGACATTCGCAGTTGTGAGTTCAGTTAATTTGACCTGTCGCCGCATCGGCGGGGTCAACCTAAGCATCGGGCAAGAAGTCATCTATCTCACACTGCTTCGGTTCCGTTCTTCCGCATAGTTTAGGTCCCACATTCCGGCGAAAACGTGGGACGACGATCATACCGCACTCGTCCATGCCTTCCAAACAAACGAAGATGGCCCCGACTTGGTGGGACGACAGCTGACGACAGACTAGTGATACGGTCGTTGGCATCACACTGGTATCGCGCTAACACCACACTGGCCCCACCTATTTTCTCACTCGTAAATGACTTGGGTCCTGGCGTTCAGATTTGTACCCACTCATGGTTGCATTTCCTTATGGAGCGCCAGGGCGCATTGTAATTTTTTTTTCTCTCAGCGCGCACAAATTTATGTAATTGCACTTTAATTTTGTCATGGAGACATGGGCTGAAAAGGCAACTGTATTCCAAGCGGTGGGGAAGGATGATCTACCTAAGCGATGGCGGGAAATCAGATCAACCACATACTTATCGGGGACTTGTCGGGAGTGCACACCAGATATATACCGAAGATTATGAAAGAACGAAAGAGTCTAAATCACTCGGGAATGGATCAAGGGCCGTGGAGCGCAAGTTCGAACTCCGGTGGATCGCGTGCTATTAACGGCTGTGCGCGAAACAATGTTTGCCCTCTGACCAAACCTCACGTGGTTGAGTTCCTCGACTCGTAGTACCACCGCGGTTATGTCCGGAGCGACGGTCCGGACGGGGAATGCTAGGAATCGGCGGCAGGTTTTCTATGCACGCTTGCCACGTTCACGGCATGGGGATCGAACTTTGATGAAATTTGCATTTATGAAAATAGCGGGAAGAGCTGCATCTGATGTTCCTGGAGTTTGCCTAATTGCGATACAACTAAGAGGTGGTCCTTGTGTGCGAGGGCGCTAGATTTACTGCGGACGTGATGTGGGTGCGGATGTACGAGCCCCTTGACAGGTGGCTGGACGAGAGTACACATGTTGGCCGGTGTTTATAGGGGTACTGGACAGACTGAAGGAGGTCTTGCCTCATCAACGCGTCAATCTCACCTGATGGCATTCAGACATAGTCAGTACAACCCCCCTATGGCTAGTCCCTCATCTATCAACCCGATACGGTCCTACGAGGAAAAGCCCACGGCGGGCTTTTCCTCGTAGGACCGTATCGGGACGACAGGTGACTTTCTTCTTCGTTCTGGACCAGGACCATAAGGTTTACGCACTGTGGATAGCAGCGCCCTCCCACAGACATGACGGACTTGTGTGTAGAGAGCCTATTTGTTTCTAGATTGCTTTCAAGTTCGCGCCACACTCCTCTGGACTTATTATTCGATTGCAAAACGGATCCTTCCGGTCAAGAAGTTAGCTATAGGATCTGTTAGTCGTATATCAAGACCGATTAACTTGATGTTACTTTCGCTGGTCCAGTTCGCGTCCGAACCAGGAGACTTGAGAGTACTGCACGCGCCATATATACGGAAGCCTATTCGATTAGGTCTGTTTACACGTTCGAGATCCTGGACTGAACCGCCCAGCGAACTGACCGAACCAAACCGCGGCAGTACTCTCAGAGCCTCAGCCTCATGCCATGATTACCAGATATCTGCCAGTATCGAGTGACTTCTTTTCCTCCGTAATGTAATGGCTGTTGCTGGGGAACATGTCGTTAATGACCATCCGAAGCAGAGAATTGAAAGTCAACGACTGTACCCTTCTACTTCATGCGAGTAAAATATCCAAACTGTTTACTGGCAAGCAAAACAAATCTGGCTCTTCCGTTGTTCAAGTTTGAACGACTGATGAAACATCATGATGCTTTAAGGAGGCAGTAACTTGACTTCGACGATGTTTCCGATCAACTGGTACAGTTGAACGTGTTGGGTATGTTGACACCCGGATCCGCTTTTGGCGCTGCATTGCAACCATCGCATCGCGAAGGGAAAGAGGGGCGCTTGTATTCTGTAATGTGGTTATGGGGAGTTAGTCGTATCTGTTAATGTTTCTAATGTTCACTACGGTCCAGGGTCAAATTTCGCTCTTGCAAGACTTTTAAACAAAGCTTCGAGATCTAGATTATTATCTAGCTAGAGGGTCGCCATTCGAATGATTTTTTAAGGCCCGAGCGTTACGCCGTGAATGTTTGATCACTTCAGGCCCAAATGGAGGATTTCCTTTTTTGACAGTGCCGAACTTGCCCGAGTCGGAAAACTCAAATCTACGATTAGAGATCACAAGCCGGTAGGGCGCAGGAAAACTCCTTCCAATTGTCATTTTCGCATCTCTTCGCATTCGCACAGATTTGCGCGCAGTGAAACATTAATTGTATCCGTTGCGTACAGCTGATTGTAAAAATCTTTGCAGATGCCTTTCAAGCGACCACTGAGCTCGCACACGAGTGATGACTCTGAATCCGCGTCTTCCCACGACGGACCTTCCAAACGACTCAGTTCGCCATGGAATATCGAGAGGGACAAAGCCGTTCTGGTGTACATCTTACGGGCCAAAATCCATCCAGAAACGATGTCTGAGCTTGCCATGCTAGTCGAGAACTATAAAATTGAGCGTGTTAACAAGAGTCATCAAGGGTCAAGCGTCGTCAGCGAACTCAACCTTGAACTCACTACCGATGTTGAAAAGGCGGACGTCATTGTCACCGCAACTAACATGAGGCAGCGCCTGGAAAGGCACATTAACTGGAGAATTGCGGTATGCGCCCACATTTTGTCATTTGTACAGGGTACTTGTTCCAATATCATTCACAGAAAACGAAGGCCATCGTAACACCATTATGGCTTCAAGACTCTGTGAAGTCCGGTCGGCTCCTTCCATGCGGCAGCTATGTTGCGGTTCGTGACTCGGAAGACGAAACTTCGCGAAATCAAGACACCTCATCTGGAAATTCATTCTACTCTCCCTCTGGGGCAGAGAAGGAAGGTTCATGGCAAACAGAACAAGATGAACTCATAGATGCTGCTGAAGTGGAGTTATTGTCGCACAATGCGAAATACAGCTGCCTACGACCGTCGCCACTTGTCTGCCCCAATCAAAGTCTGGTCAAAGAAATCGATATCATTCGACGTGGCAGGAACATTGAAGGAGAGGAAAGAAGTATGGTCAGCTACTCAAGGGCTATCTCTGTCAGTTCAACATATTTCCGTTGTGTTGTATTATATTCTTAACCCATCGTGCCCAGGTCATCAAGGGTCCGTAACTGCAACCCCGTTCAATGTATAACGAGCTGGATCCAACATGCAGCTTACCCGCGTGTCATAACGGAGCACAATATCCAAGATATTCGCAAGCTACCGTTCTTGGGAGAGAAGATCCTCTCAATGGTGCTGTCGGCATCCTCGTGGTTTACTCTCGTTATTCACACATGTTAGATTGAGGAGTTTCTGAAGACGGGCCGAATAACCGAAGCGCGTCCGTGCTTTCCCTTCGTTCTATGACTTGGCGCTGATACAGGTGCAGAGACTATGTTGGCAGATCCGCGGTTTCAGTCACTTTCTACTTTCATCACAATACATGGCATCGGACCCTACACTGCTCGCCGTCTTTATGGCCTTGGTCTTCGCACGCTCGAGGAACTTGAACGATATTATGAAGTTAAACCAGGCGTGTCTGACGAGGAGACAATGTCACTCCTTGATGCTGATGCAAGCGCAAATACAGAGGCTGCGGCGGAACAGTCCATTAAGATCGGGTTGGCTCTGCGACACGACTTGAGTCAGACGTGAGCTTTTTTTTGATTCGTCCCTTCGGACGGAGACATCGTGCTGCTCTAAATATGCGTCTTACGGACGGGAATTTATTGACATCTGTGTCCTTATAGCATTCCACGTGAAGAAGTAGAAGACATTAATCGGACCATCATGCGAGAACTCAGCCATATCCAGAAAGGATGCAAAAGCGTGATCGCTGGAGGGTGTGTTTACCTTGTTTGCCCAACCAATAGTTGCTATTAATCGCGTTGCTCTTCCATGGATTTTAGTTACCGCAGAGGAAAGTCACAAAGTAGTGATGTTGACATAGTCGTCACCCATACAGATTGGAACTTAGGGTCTCAGAAAGTGAAAGGACTGTGTAGAAAGCTTGTGCAACGACTGCACGAACAAGGTCAGAGATCTGCAATGGAGATACTAGGTCATCATACCAATCAATTACAGGTTTCGTCACGCATGTCATGCGTATGTCTCCAGTATGACCGCAATAGGTTGTCTGATTTGACAATTATATAGATCTTTCGGGATTCCATGAACACAACGTGTTGCGCACTCATCACTGGGACTCCTTAGAGAAGGCCCTAACTGTGTTCGTATGGCCCCATAATTCATCGCAGCGGAGAGTTTATCGACGTGTCGATCTGATCTTTGCTGCGCCGGAAGTATTTTGGACCGCAGTAGTTGGATGGTAAGCACTAGACCTAAATACTTTAGCAAGTGATACGAGCGCCAATCTAGGACTGGGTCAACTATGTTCGAAAGAGACTTACGGTTATGGGCGAAGCAACAAAAGCAAGTATTCGCGCTTCTCCGCGTGGGTCCTGGTTAACGTGTATTATCAGGGGGATGAAATTTGACAGTTCTGGAATGTAAGTCTAGTCCAAAGCAATGGACTTGGCGTTTGGACCAATTTCATTGCTTTATAGATCGCGACGTCATGATTCCAAATTGTACCATCCCAGAACGGAACGTGATGTATTCAAAGTACTCGGACTAATTTATATTCACCCAACGCTGAGGAACGCGGATGCATGATCCGGCTGGTCGTGTTCAATTTTCCCACTTGCTTGTTCTACAATTCTTTGTGTCGGGATTATATTTCGACGTCATTCTCCAGCATTCTCCGTATGTTTTGTGATTACTTCCGCAGTCATGCAATATATGCAATTTCGCCTGAATGATATTCCAAATGACAGTCTCCAATTTTGAGCTTGGCAAGATCAACTGTACTAAATTCTAGTACCAGCATCATATTACATGCAATTGTAACATTGATCATTATCCCCCAGGCTCGACATTCACCATTCTAGTCGTCACCCCAGATTCGCTGCAGAGAAACCGGAGAGGCCCGTAGGTTCTTCCAGTTCTCCCATACTTTCAATTTAATCAGCTCTTCGAATTGGTGAGTGCCTTCCTGGGTTTTCGCTTCCATCGCTTTGCCTCACGACCGGCCTAATTCGCTTAGCGCTTCTGATCACTATTTGTGCAGTTACGCTCAACTCCGTTTCACACCACAGGTTCGTGGATTCGATATTCTAGCGGGACGGAATAAGTGGGAAACCTAGAATTTCTTGCACAGGACTAGATCTCATCATGATGCTGTGTGCGTGGGCTGGGCCTGGGCAGTGGGCCTTTCAGACTTACTTGGCTGCTCGGCTACTACGGACTCTTCACGGGCTTGACAGATATCAGGCCAAGCGATGCTATTTTTTGCTCATTGCTCGCGCACTGATCAACTCGATCTGCAAGACTTGCAAGCGAGCACGTTTATTGGTCTATGATTATCCCAAATGAGTGCGAGCCTGTGCAAGTGCTCAAATTGACTCGGAGTTTCCAAAAGGTTACCAGCTACTAGAACTGTGGGTAATGCATTAATTATTGAAGTTCCTGTTTGATGGGGGATTCAGATAGAAGTTTTCAGCTATTTTCACGTCTTTTTTTCGTGTCATTTGTGCGGAGTTTTCGTTGTCAAAGTTTGGAATACCTCCTCTAAGTCGCGTGGTGTCTATATTTGTTATGTCGAGCTGGGCCGTCTATGGCACATTACCTCCACTGACAGGAACTGTTCAGTATTCTCTGTTGTTTGAGCCGAGCTTGAAGCGTTGAGAACCAATTCACTAACTGATCTCTCCCAAGCCCGACGCGTCAAGTGCCGGTCTTTTTATCTTGGTGAAGACAGCTGAAAACTTCCATTGAACTGGCTGAGTTTACGAATTTGAAGTGAATTTGATCATAGTATATTTTGTCCTCGCAACCGATCGCTACTTGTAACCTGGACTCGTGAAGTTATTCTAATATTGTTCCATTCGACGTCGATATGATACGGCGGTCACAGCCATACATAGTATAGTATGTAATGCAGTAACTCAAGGAGCGATTTGCGTCCAGAGGCTTGGACAGCTCTCCACCAATCGCAACATTATCGCATCATGGCTGCCGGAAGTTGCAAGGCTCAAATGCATGTTGAATTCGCCAAAAAGTTTTTGCAAAAGTTTCTGGCCTGGCGACTTGTACATATGTCGTTGGTCTCGAGACCAGATTTTTCGTATCCATTAATAAGGTCATCGTTGGAGAGTTGTATGCCACTCTATGTACTAGTACCTCTGGAGTCGCTAATATGCTCTGGTGTGAAACTGTGTGAAGGAACACTAGTTGATACAAGCGGGCGCTACTATGGCATATCCCTGGAAGACCAGCTCATAGTGATTATGATACAGCAAAAAATGATCGGCATGACTGTGACCAAATCTGGAAGAATGGAGGAGCTCTTGGTCCCATGAAGTTGAAGAACGTAGTTTGCATCCATTGCTGCTGGACTGTGAGGAACTCTAATAATGCCTTCATTTGTTATTGAAAACCAATCTCTCCGCATCCATATCGCCCTTTCAGAACACGAGGTTCCGATTTTCATGCGAACACGGACTGTTTTAGAAATTTGTGGGGCATCGCTTGGGGAGGGGGAATGAAGACATGCGTTGTTGTCAAAACCAATGATGAGATGAATGGATGACATAATGTAGCTTAACCTTATTTTCGAGCAGGCGCATCGATAAGGAGGCGACGAGGCGGGCTTGACTTCCAAAACCAGCCATCGAGGCGCATCGATAAGGGTTCCACCAGTACTTCCTGTATAACAGCGGCTGTAGTCGACAAGATATCAAATAGTAAGGTACGCGCTTCCATGGAAGACGCGGGTGCGATATGATTTACCACTTACCTGTACATACTCTGTAGGGACCTGTAACAGCCTGTAACTTCTTTGAAATCATGATGGAGTTCCGAGGGGGTTAGGGAAGTTCCGTCCTCTTGGAATCTCACCTGATGGCGAATGCAAGACAAGTGGCTACTAGCTCCGAAATAATTGTGTCTGTGAACACACTAGAGCTTTCCCTCACAAGCGCTGAGCCTTAGTGTTTGACCCTCGGAGCCGCCCTGATCTCGGTAACTATCCCCTTGTTTGTCTCTGTTTAATACAAAATACAAAATCTCTTTTTTGACTCGATTTTGCAGATCGAACATTGCCGTGCCATTCCACAGTCAGGCAAGAAGACAGCAGATCTTTTGCTCATGTAATGCTCGCGTGGGATCCCCCATGACGGTTCTCGTAATTTAATAAAAGGAAGCCTCTGATCGGGAGCGTCGTGGAGGAAACGAGACACTTCTGTCAACTTTCGTTTCTCTCGAAACCTTTTTAGACCCGACAGTCGGACGGAGGCAATGTGAGTGTGGTCCTTAGCGGTGCATGATCTTGACCCCCCCGTCTTCATCCGCGAACCGAGACTTGCCGACTTTCAGGATTGTCCTGTCCCGTATACAAGGGTCAAAGAACGGCGGCGATAATCGTGTGTACGGAAACGGACTTAGCTACTAGATCTATGTCCTGAATTGAACATCAACGCAAGCACATGTGAGAGCCGACATTTGCAAATCAGATGAGTACTTGATTGGAGTTGATTGGTCGGGTAATTGAAAGGTCCTGACGGTCGTACTACTTACCTACGAGCGCGATATAAATCCGGGTGATACAAAAAGTTGGCCCAGTTTCTGTTGCATTGTCGCCTCTATAACACCACAATATTTGGTTCACCAGCCCCCATTTCATGCCCCGCCATACAATTTCTACGCATATGTCTCAAATAACTGATGGCGACGTAGCTTTGATCACTCCCATCTCACCGTCAAATGCACCTTGGGACCAGTGTCCCTCATCATACCCTGGAAATGCAATGAACACTATCGGGTGGAGTTATTACTCTTTACCACCGTCCCCGCCTATCTCTATCGGCTCAAACATCACCGACTCTCCTGGACCTGTATCCAACACAACTCCTGACTCTATGCGAGAGAAGGAGCAACAATTGTGCTTGCCGACGCACCAGGTGTTTGACTTCCCTGAGGTGCCAAATATATCGTCACCTTCACCATCCGTCTCTCCGCCACTCTCAAAGTCCTCTCAACCATCTATTTCCCTTGACACTCACATGCACGCGGAAGGGCTATCTTCCCTTCCTATTGCAGGCCCTTCGAAGAGACCGCGAACTGGCGGAGAGCGTATCACCACAAAAGACTTTGTGCCACCTGATGTATCGGGGCTGAGCAAACGCGAAGCACGTCTGGTTAAGAACCGTGCCGCTGCTTTCCTCAGTCGGCAGCGGAAGCGGGAAGAATTCGAGGCTATGGAGATGTAAGTCCTCACATTTACTCTTGGGTACATGACAGGATGCTAAATGATACCCGCTTCATCGATATAGTCGCGTCAAGGACCTGGAGGAAGATAACGTGCGGCTTCAGACTGCTGCCAAAAGAGGACACGGCTATGATGAATTGCTCCTGGAAGTCGAACAATTGCGCACTCGCCTTTCTGCATCTGAAAAGAGGGGGCGCGAGCTGAAGGCCGAACTTTCACGAAGGTCAACCAGTGATATCCATGTGAAGACAGAAAATTACGAACATTCTTTGACTCCGGTCTCACCATCTGCCTCGCTGCCGATGCACTCCCACCAGAGGTCTGGAGCAAGTCTCGGCCTGATGGTAGGCAAGCTAGTATTTGGAAATCAAAATTATGAGACCAATGATCCAACAGCAGGTTCTCCTATGCACGCTACCGTCCCTTCTTTCCACGTCCCCTAGATCGCTTCCGACCACATACTTTATTCCCCTGACGGATCCCTCAGTTCTGCACCCCTCGTGCAACTTCGACTACAGCTCTATCATCCCAAGCGACTTTGAATGGGCACCGCATCCCGACGGGGGAGCGGTGATGCACCTTGGTTCTGGCGATCTCGGAAAGCTTTCTTCAAGCGCTGGTTCTTCGTCCCCTCGCAAAGTCGAGATTCATTCCGAAGCCATCAGAGCTCTTGGGGGATTCGAAATTTCCTTTGACACTAGTCCAGCCAACGACGGAAAAATTCAGGTTCGGATCCACCCTTCCCAATCACACCATATCAACCGGGATCCCCAACGTGCACCCCCATCCTCAATGCCCATGTGGTTCGAGTCAGCACCAAATAACTACGGCCCTGCCTTTTCAGCTGCCTTGACATTTACTGCATCATCGACACCGGGATCTTCTTTCGTGCCGTTAACTAGCGATTTTGACTTGGATCCTTTTCTGGGTGGAGTCCACGACTCAGGAATGCCTTATGGCAGTAGTGGACCGGCATTCGGCCATCATCCATCCGACTGCCGTATTTGAACATATACCAGGGTTTATGAACGGCACTCGCAACGACTTCTCTAAACACCGTTCGCGAGTTACCATGAGAAACCTCCCGGCTGTCGGGATGGAAGGAGAGTGGGAGGTTCCAGCCTGTTGATTGCCACCGCAGTTGGTCAACGACAACTATTACTTAAGTACTATCATTTACTTTCATTCAGCTGCTTTGATTGAAGTTACCTGGATAAACCGCATTGGAATTTACATCACTAGTATCTACTTTACTGGCTTGAGCTGGCCTTGAAGCAATTGCTCGCATTATTCTTTCACAAACATGCTGGATATATAGTTTTTACGTAGGCTTGGCAGATATGGAGGAATGCGCACTCGGCGCGTGAATCTCAAGGTGGCAGAGCCCCGCCTCAGTTTCCTTCCTTTTGCAGTCACTGAGCAGAATCATCCTCACCGCCGAAATAATTGCATATGCATCAGCAAATAGTCCAGACTCCGGTGCCACCACGTTACAGTGAGGAAGCTATACTTGTGGGGGATGTAGCGTCCACTGGACAGGACCGATAGCAGCACTTTTCTCCTCTTGTCCGTGACCTTTCCCGGTGATCGTACCGGTTCGGCCCCTGACTAACGTAGATTTGGCTTCAAGTAGAGTGTCGACTAGCGTAGACCAGCGTCGACTCATTTCATTGACAGCAGCAGCGGTGTTCATTTAGCTAGTAGTTTTACTCACGCTTAAGGTTTCTTTTACACAAGTCTAATTGGTTGATAACCTTGTCGTCTCCGTTCCCAATGTTGGCTGGATAGCGTGTACATCGTTGCTTTCTGAACTAGCAGTGCCGGCTTCTTCACCCTCCCTATCCTTGCCCTTGTCCTTCTCCATGCACGATCCGTCGTCTGGATATAGATTGTTCTGCTCTATGTAGTCGATGACGGCCGCTGGGAGGAGATACTGTACCGAAAGACCCCTGCGAAAGAACAGCCGTACCTTCGTCGAGGAAACATCGTTCTGGACTAGCTGAGCGATAGGGTAGATGTTATTCCGCCAACGCGCCAAGCTGTCAATCGCTTGATCCAGGGAGGCCCCTGTGCGCTCAATGACAAACGTTCCATGGCGTCCAAGAATATCATCGAGCTAGAAATCAGTACATTAGACCGCGGCACATATGATTTTTGAAAGCCCTACATCATCATGAGACCAAACGCCCGGCTCAGACATGGTGCCAATCAAGTCTGAACCAGCAAGGAGCATGATCTGAACATCACGGTGTTCACCATCTCGAGTGGACACGCCACCAAGAACCGTGTTAATTTCGTAATCAAAATGATCAAGCACAACAGCTGTGCGTTGATAATTCTGCAATGCCTCCCAGGAATCGACCATTAGCCACAATGACTCCTGCTCTGTGGCGAGCATACACATTTTAACCCTGTTTCATGCGGAATATATCAGTATTGAAATGTTAGATAGTTGCACAATCCAAAACTTCGAAGTTTCAAGTTGGGGGATAAAATTTTAGCCTTTCCGGAACCTCGGAACACTGGAGACACACACATATATATATATATATATATATATCAGAGCGTCTTTGTAGAAAAGTGTGCCTCCTTGGGTTGTGAGACCTCGTGAGACTCACGGTCGTGGTCCACAAAAATGAACGCGATAATCTGGCCCGGCCCGATTACTTGAACTGGAGCACCCCTTCAGGGAAAAGATACAGTCTCCTTCTAAGCAAGATAGACCACAGCTGTGGTGCCCGGACACATGCTATGGGAAAAAATAATAGCGGTGTACTTACCGATGATGTGCGCTGACCAGACCCGCTTTCTTGTACCCGTCACTGACCGGGCTGAGATATCCACCGACAATCTCAAAATTGGTATTCTGCCGAATGAAATCCTTCGCGATCTCAAACATCCGAAGGTGGTGGTATGTGATAGGATTAAAGGAGCCGCATGCCACCAAGACGACGGGTTGCTTCGTGGAGGTATGTAGAGTGCGATGGAGTCGATGAGAGGCTAAAGCATAATTTAAGGGATTCGTCAAGGCGGCCGTCTTGTGCACAGATACTTGAGCTGCCATAGTGGTGCTGGAAGTAGTGTGGAAATGATAGTATACTTTTGGAGTGCGAGCGCCTACGTGCCAGGAGCAACGTTCCCCCTTTCTGCCCCGGTGAAAAATCTCCGCCTTAATGGTAATCACAGGCAACTTCTGAGAGTTCAGTGACATGCTATTGACATTACTGTTATGAGCAATATCATATGCTCACAAACATTCGGAAGACATGTGCATGATATCTGGCGTCTGAAGTGTTTCACAAGTATGAAACGCTGTAGGGCGATCACTGATATATTACGTAATCGAGTAATTTAAAAATAATCACGTGATCAGTGGGACCCGGCAACCGAGGATTCAGGAAACTATGATGGCATTCGACTCGGACACCCCGGCCGCCCCCGCCAATATTTATCGATGTTTATCCATCACCCTAACCTTAGAGCTTCAATATCTTCGGTTCGAACCCAGATTTTGCTTTATGGCTTTATCTTCGGCACAATCATGTGCACAAGCGGGCATCTTCGCTGGGTCTCACAATCATGTGATTCAGCACATGTATAATAAATCCCGGCGTGGGAGAGAAACCCATTCCTAGATCGGTGCCTAGACCCTGGTGACTCCAAATAGGGCAAGGTCCATCACGTGACCGGACTCCGCTCGGTATACCATAAGGAGTAGTTGTTCACTCTCCCCTTCGTCCAGGCGAAATCCGTAAACCCACGACTACTGTAACATTGTCAGGGCCAACAAATTTGAACCAAGTCGCGACCCTAGACCTGTAATCGCTTACTGTTCGTTACTCGCTCAACCGCAGCTTCAAGTCGAGCCTTTTTACATCTTACATCACTCGAAGCTACTGTGATGGTGCAGAAAATCAAAACATCCAGGGTAAGGTGATTAGTCGGTAGCACCGAACCGCAGTAAGCATGTTCATCCTTAACTGCTCGACGAAGTCGGTCATGTGATCGTTAATTGGTCATATCTGCTGACGATGCGATTTCCGTGGGGAGTCCGACTCTCCGAGTCGTGGTGGCGTTTACATATAGACTGGTAATTGTAACTAACATCCTAACCTTCCTTCGTAATCAATGTTACGAGTTCAACTTTTCAAGTTTATTACCGTTTGGTACCCTAGGTACTCATTGATCCGAGTCGTAGTTTCAGTCCCCAAGGCATCTGGCAAAAGTTACAGCATAATCATGAGGCTCAATGACATTGGCATCGCCAATATCCGGAGCTGTGTCTAGGGTAATTAACCGTGAAACATTGATGTGAACCATGGAAGGACCTTGGACTGCCATCGGAAACATGGTGAGACTACTTCCTTGCCCACACCATCTTGCCCTTCACCCAGGTGCTTAATATGTCACCTTGATGGTCAAGTACCACCAAGTCTGCGTCTGCACCGGCGCGCAGCGTACCCTTCTTGTTCTCAATGTTAAGGCACCTAGACTTGTATTTAGGCAAGGCCTGCGGAATTAATTTTTCACTTACCTTGCAGGATTGTAAGTTGCACATACGATGGCTTGACCAATGGAGCAGCCCGTGTAGCGCACGAAGTTCCGTACGCATTTGTCGAGGGTGACCACGCTGACGTTCGGCCATTAATGTAGAAAACAGGTATGTAGTGTAAACAAACCTTCCGGCAAGGGTGGTGGTACCCTCTATGTAAAGCTTATCGCCCTCCTTGTAAAATCGACGGCCATCGCGCCAGTCGTGAACACCATCCTTGAGGTGCGGGTCCAAGATCTTCATGGCTGTGGGAATGTCAGTAAAGCAACTCCGCAAAACAATGGCGCATACCATCGGTAATCAAGATGCACCCGTCTGGATGAGCACTGTATGCCAGCTACCGAAGATATCAAATACAACCCAGATGCACATCAACAATAAGAACCCACTCTCACGGAGTTGGGATGAGAATGAATCCCATCCACGATAATCTCATAGAATGGTCGATCGAACAGTATAGTCGTCAAATCTTTCTTTGGCTCACTTTCGTTTGGTTGTCTACTCCCCAGGGGAATTGCGGTGATAGCGGCAGAGTCCAGGCTCGCTATCGACTTGCCTGTGGGAAGGAGAAATTTCTTGTGAGCTTGTTCCGCAAGGAGCATGGGTGTCTGAGGGGGTGTCTTAATCTCATCAAATGCTTCCGATATATGATCGATTAATGGGTCCTTGGTGATTGGAAGCGAAGATATCGAGGCATTGAGGGCACTGATGATAGCGGAAGGAAATGGCAAAAAAGCTGAAGACGAAGGAGATAGATAAGGAGAAGCTCCAAGTAAACCAATGATAGACGGGTCGCGATGGTGAAGCTGTGGCATTGCGTTGAAGAGATGTGTGATGCATCTCGCACCATTCCGTACTGCTGCAGTTGCAATATCCGTCGTAGCCATGCTATCTTCGTTAGGAGCAACTTAGTATCGTCAATTTTAACAAAATCATACCTGTGTCCAATATTGAAACAGATTCCACGCTTGCTGGCTTCGTTAATAGCCTCCATAACGCCCTCGACCTCAGGCGCAGCTGTTATAATGCGCACACCCACAGTGTCGTAGAGGGTGTCACCCGACATGAGCCAGTCTTCCGCTTCTGCTAGGTTCTCTGGACTGTAAATAGACTCGAAAGTCTTGAAGCCTTCTGAGGCAGGTATGATTAACGCGGGCGAATGGGCACCTCGTTTGGACATCTGTAGGAACGGCCCCTCAGCATGCCACCCGAGGAGGTGTGCTGCGTGTGGAGGTGACCATGGACGAAGCAGGTTAAGAAGCTTGGGGTAAAAGGCCTTTTCTTGAGTCTGTTATAGTACACATGTGTTATTGCGAACGAAACACCCAAGGACTGGATGCTTACGATAATCGTGGGGACCAAGCTAATGATCAACAAAGAAATAAGGTGCTATGAAGGAGTGGGTGGCAGATGTATTGACAACGTACGAAGTCACACCCGTCTCAACAATTTTCTCTGCGACCAACTTCAACCCATCTCGATAAGTTTGGTCGTCGCCTTCGTAGACAGAGAAGTCAAAACCAAAGCCTCCATTGATCTGAATGTCAATAAAGCCTGGACTGTTCAGAGTAATTTAGTTTGTTACTTAGCAGGACCGAAAATACGTAACAAGGGACGTCGGTTAAACAAGTTCCAGGCTTATTGTGTCTGCCCTACTCTGCCAAGTCCAGGACACTCACCTTAAGATGTTTCCCCCAAGATCAATAATCGTATTCGGACGCTCCTTGCGCAGGAAGAAGGTTCGCTAGGCACGAATAAACGCTAAATCGGACCCAAACACACGTCTATATAGTCTGGGCAAAGTGACCCACCTGCGCATCTAGTATGACACCACGCCGCTCATCAATCCACAAATCCTTTTCAATTAAACCACCGTCTTCCTGCGGGAGGAAGCAATTTGTGAAGCAGATAAGGTCATTCGATGTTGTCGCTGCCATGGCAGATGACTGTAATTATGCAAGAGGCTGGGACAATCACTACTGACACAGAAGTACTAACGGCTAGAAGTACTGACAGCTACATTACTGGACGGAACAGATCGCCGATGGTCCATACCATATCATGTGGAATACAATCTCTAGCGCTCATGCAAGAGCACGTTTGAACTCGTGAGTTCCATTTAGTTTCTAAGCGTGGCATCCTCGGCTTCGAGAGATTATTCTGATAGGCCACTATCTTTACAACTAAGGAAACCTTGGAATAACTGGCAGCGCCCAGACATTCACTGGCAACGATCTCTTGTGTAGCCAGCACAAAACCGCCGTCGAATCTATAACCAATGACCCAGAGAATACCGGCACACCAACGAATATGTTCCAGATAATGTTCGTCTGCGACTTGAGATGCCTGATACTTTGCACGACTCACAATTTCGTTGTAGTCCGGGCTCCTCGGAAATCGCTCTCGTGGGATATGGAGGCGGCCCGGTAGGATGGTCCCTGGGTAGAAAATGTTCCAAATCGTACCTGATACCAGCGTGTACTAGGTTTGGATGCTACTTATGTGTTTGCGTGTTCCTGATACTCGGAAGGTGGCGACCTGCGCCACCTGAGAATATTGATGGAGAGCACCGGACGACGTCAAAGCCCTGGGTCCGCCAGTGAAACTCGACATATTTGTCGTGAAGCTGTGCGTTGCAATGAAGACCACTGACGAGATTGGCATTCGACTCACTTCCCGAATCTGGCTTAGTACGTTGAAATTCTGCTTTGCTGTAAACGGTCGAATGAAACTGGCCATTCATTTTCTTGGCGAGCGCAAACATTCTCCGTAACGAACGGGATGTGGTGATTCAAGCAGTTTCTCCTCTTTACTTGCTTACCAGCCCCTTCGGTCATCAGGAAACCTCGACTTCCTCAGTCCTGTCTAACTATAGAGACGCGACACCTGAGGACTGATCCAGTGTATAGAGAAGTTCCACGATAAGCTGACCAGCATGCCGACCCTGTTTGACAACACAAAGTTTTCCTCAGCTCCGGCTCTGGAAGCCCTTCCAAACGAACTACTCTTGCAGATCATCTCCGAAGTCGTTCTCTCTTCTACGTGGCCTGACCACAAGCTAGAGCAAGCATCACCTATTACTGGCACCACCAAAACGGGCTGGAAGGGACTCAAAAGCGCATGGGAGACACCAAGCGGCATCCACGCTGTGACTCTGACCTCCCGTCACCTCCATGACCTCGCGAACATTGTGCTGTATCGCACTGTAGTTCTTGATAGAGAGAAGGATGTCTTGCTGTTTCGAAGAACTGTCAATGATGCTCGAAAAGCGAGCAGGCCTGGAAGAACGGGAAAGGTGGCCATCACTTCAGCCTTCCTGCGAAATGTTGTGAAGCGCCTTGCAATCACACATGCATCGACGTACACTGATCTCGCGGTGTTCACGCTGCGAAAACTAGGCACGAAAGTGTCCGACAGCGACACTGCCACCATCATTACTGCATGCCCTGGAGCATACATGATAACCGTACCTTCTCAGTGGGCACACGTCCTGCGCGACATTGGGAAAACTGCAGAGGGTTCAGAGGAAGGGGGGGCGCCTGGAAACCTCAATGTTACCGAGCTTCTCCTGAGTTCTTATGTCGACTTCGCCAAAACATGTTGCATGATCCCTCCAATTGCTCAATGGCGGCCCTCGGCACCTTCCACACCCATCCATTCCCTCCCGGCGACACCGAGTACCACGCGTCCTTCAACCCCGAATTCCGCTATCCAACATGACTCCACCAGCGCTTTGAGCGATTTATCGCCGGCTACTATATTCCACCACGTTACCCACCTTTGCATCGCGGAACCAGCTCAAGCATGGTATTCACCGCTTGCACTTCTAGAGGTTTTCCCGTCATTAACGCACATTGCACTCCCCCGTCGCGCGCACGCAAACATAGAGAATGACGAACTTTTCATTGGGGATGTAAAAGCCATTCTACAGGAGCCAAGGATACGGGTGGTTATCATCAGTATTTTCCCGCAGACCCTAGTTGGAGCAGATCAGGATGAAGCCGTCAGTCGTGATGCAGGCGGGCCGCTAGATATTAAGGACAGCACCATTTGGCTCGCTGCGGAAGAGCTGAGAAAGGGGGACGGGCGTCTGTTTGTTGTCAATGGACACTCGGGTAGTTGGAGAAAAGATTGGCAGGGACCAGCAGTGGTGGCGAGCCCCAGAGGCCCCGGAAATTGGTGGAGGAAAGTTATGAACACATAGATACGGCCACTGCAAGTTTGCGAGACCCCGTACATAATTTTCACCTGGTGCGAACATAGAGTAAAGCGCGTAATATATAGACAGATCAGAAAACTTCGATAATTCAATAGCAACACCACCAGAGAGAACCCACCCACACTGCCAAACATCCCTAACATAGCAAACGAGGGTACGCCCGGGGGCAAGACGCAGCGCGCGCGCGTGAGTCAAAAATGATTAATGAAGCCTAATGAAACATCGTGCTTGCCAAGCCAGACACAAGGAATTCACTATGTGCAATAAGTTGACACGAGAAGCAGAGCCACCGGCTGAGCCATCCCGTGTGGAAAATATATAAGTAACGTACCAGCATAACTCGTCACGGAAATTCGGAAACGGAATGAACTGTGATGAACGTCGGCAGGAGATGAGGACGTCAATGAATGATGCCCAGAAGCTCGACCTATTTGCTCTCCATGCCCGAGACTATCTTCAAGGCGTAGACGAGAGAATTTGCAGCGAGAGAGAGAGCACTACATCATAGTACGCGCGCGCCGCGACTCCCACTCAGACAGCACGTGACAACAACTTTTGAAGCAAACGACGAACATTATCAGTGGAAGATTCAAATATTGATGTAAGCTAGTCGAACCTGTTTTGTGGATTTACAACTGTGATGGCCAGGAGAACAGTCCTTCCCTCTCACAAACTCTGTCGCTGGCTGGGGTATCTGGGCGAAGCTCTTCGAGGCAGACCAGGCAGACAGCCGCGTGCATACGACTCTTCGTTCAGCTGGTATCTATTGGATTGGATGCAGTCAGATGATGTGACTATCTCTCCACGTTGTCACTCTTGTCTTTTCCGTCTTGAAGCGTGCTGCATAAACGGTGCCAAATTGTAAGTGAGGCCTAGTAAGGCTGCGTACCGGTATATGTGAGGATCTGAACAAGCATATATAGACGCCCGCCCATGCCTCGTGGGTCACTATCCGTGGTCAGCTGCGGTCACATATTTATGTGGTTGGAACTTGAAGCTTGATCTCCCAAGAAATCGATGGCATCGTGGCATTCAGGATCATTTTAAGATGTAGCTCCACATTTCCAAGAAGAATATTTTTACATGCCGCTGCCGGGCTCACATTACGTTGACATTGCCTGCCAAGAGCATTGCACGCTAACCATATACGCCAGTCTCAGACTTTCAGACTACATATTGAGGGGATTCCCCTCCCCCTCTGGCTGTGCAAGTGAATGCCGGTAAATGACAAGACTCAAAACGCGTAATATTCCGAGAAGACGTCTTGATTGCATCACCCTTGGTCCAAGCACATCGGAACCGTTTTACATAAATGAACACCGCTTACCACACCGTGAATAGGAACGCTGGCAACTCCTTTGTTAGTGCCTCGGAATCGGATCAAATGTGACCTACACGGTATAGCTTTCTCCAAGGTTCACTCTTGGCGCTTTGACCTTTATACAGCACGGCCCAAGTTAAATATGATTCCTGTGACTACCCTTAACCCAACATCATTTGTGTCCTCACGACTGCACTGAGCACTATAATGACCTCACGACGAATCCATACGACTGGAGGTGAGGTTTTTCATTAGCTTCACCCGAATTGAGGCACTCAAAATGTTTCCATGGACGAGCAGAATTGGTTCGAGCAACCAGCATTGAATTACCAACTCATTCCCGCACAGAAACGCCCGGTGTGTTCAAGCAACTGGGGATTGGCGGACACTCGGAGGAACGCGAACGCGAGTTTGATGTCATTTTTCCTCCCAGAAAACGTATGTCGCAGTGCTTTGAATGGAAGAGTTCTGCTGACTTTCCGTGCAGGCACGCAGAAGGAGCAAGATAAGGAAGACGAAGAGGCTCGTAAGCGCGCAATGACAAACCTCGTGAACTCGTGGCAGGAACGACTGCAGCTCATCAGTGTAATTGTGAGGTCATGGCTTGCCTGGTGACTGACATTCATCTGATGAACAATTTCCTTGGGCGTTGCACAGACGACATTCTTTGCATCCATAGAAGCAGGGATGTTGGTGCCAGTGAATACTGATCCGAACGCAGTCGATGCCTTGCCAAGTCTCCTCAAAGCTGCAAATGCAGGATTTTTGGGTGCATTGATCATGCACGTCTATGCAGGTAAGTTAGGTTATCACCAGGGCATAGTTAATGACTCATTCGTGCGCGACACGTTGATTGCGCAGCTGTCCTATCATTCCTTGCGGCTTTTCTTTTGATCCGATATAAGCTGAAAGAAGCCTCAAACGAAGAGTTATTCGCAGAAGGCAGAGCCAAAGGATTTCAAATTACAGCATCTCCAGTGAATGGTTCATTCCACGTCCAAGACATCGAGAGAGACGCCCAAAACAATGATGCCCAGAAATTTGACCCGGAGAACTCGCCACAGACGGGCACATCAGATAACCACGCAGATACCAAATATGCGCCCCCAGTGCTGCAGCGGATGGGATCGCAACCTGCGGAACCTCCTATATTTGTTAGGGACCCACACCTGGAGCAGGTTGGCTTTTGGAGTCCTACGATTTCATCGCATCTCCTGAGTCGCGTACACGCCCTGTGCATTATCCTCGCTGGGGTTGGGTTTATACTCGCAATCATGGGTATCATGACATACGCGTGGGCGCTGCAACCAAAGGAGGTTAGCATTTTTGTGACTGTGTGCTTCGGGGCCGCTGTTCTTGCGATGGGGGTGCTTCTTCTACCTGATCCCTAGACGTTGAGCGCGACTCGTCGTTATTCATTTCATTTCTTGAACTCTGCTTCCCCCAAAAACTTATACCTCTGTACATTTCACATCTATAATCCTCATAGACTTCTTGCATACATAATATCAAGTATCTCACAATAAGGTTTTTCAAATGAACATTGTTGAGCGACTGATTCATAAATGGGTGACTATCCGTAGGCCTGAATAATGCGAAATAGAATAGAATAGAATAAAAAATACCATTCAAGGCAATCCCGCCGCGATGCCGCTGTTCATTTAGGACGAATTTCCCGCGCATTATTTTCTTCACCCTCTTACAGACTCTAAATCTGTAGGGCCCCCCCCTTCAGATTATAATTGACGATTATGTCCATTTTGGGCCACTAACGCCTGCTTAGTAATCTACAACCCTGTCTCGCGCATAACGATAGTCGTTGTCCTCGTTCCACCATTGTGTAATATATACAGGAACCACTACAGCCCAATCCTTAAGCTCCTTTGTGAAGTTTTATACTGAAGTTTTAAGATTAACAGGAAACTATGGAGTCACGTACTACTGCGACCACACAGATTACAAGTTGTGCAATGCCATCTTTGCTCTCCCTATGTGAGTCTAGTAATGAATGCTGTCTATCCCTCAAGCTCCAGTAAAATTTCATTTTGTTGAAAGCTTTGATTCAGTTTGTGTACTAACATTATTCTGACTACTTTCTACCAACTTTCAGGCTTGCCCATACACCTGCTGGCTGGGATTTTGGAGACATAAAAGCATGAGTTGCAGGACAACCAGGTAAGTATTCTTTTTATTCAAACACTATGTCTGATATTGTCATATCCTGTATGCCAGACATAGATCCCATCATATTCCCATGCTTTCCGGACCTATTTCTGGACCCCACCTCTGACTCATTCCCAGATCCCCTTCTGCTGTGTGCTCCATATCTAAGCAGGATTAGATCTGCTATGGAATTTCCCCTGAGCTCTGGACCTCCGGATCCTCACTACTAGCCTGATCCATAAACCCCTATCCTGTCCACCATATGCACATTCCATCCAGCAAGACATCTGGACTTTACCTCCTCTTGGATTCTGGACTACATCCACCACCTCACATATCTCAGTCCTGTTTCTGCCTTGCCTTCTGGATCCCCAGATCTCCAGACCTATTCCCACCCTCCATCTGAGATCCTGCACCTATCCCCATTTAGGCATCTCTGCCTTTCCAGTTCTCAGTTATCTCTGTTTCTGTCTTGCTGATTGATCCTTGTACTAGTTTCATCTCTGAGTTCATTTACTTATATTAGAGTTGGAGTTTCGGTTTTGGGACTGATTATCATTACTTTAGGGTATTGTTCAACCTTGCCACTTCATACCACATGTGTTGTGCTTGGCAGCTGCATGGTCATTGACTTCTCCAGCTCTTTGAGCCCTGTATCTTGTAACATTCAAATACCTTGTCATCTTGCTCTTGGTGTCCCTCAGTTGTTGTTCACCAACACTGAGGTATGCGTCTCATTTGTCTTACTGTTTGTTTCACACTTACTTAGAGTTGTCTTAGCATTGTGCTTTCCGACAGGTACTTAGATTGTGAATATAGTCATTGTTCACCAACACTGAGTGTTGTGCTTTCCAACAGGTTATGAGCCCCATGTCCTAAATGGCACAGAAACTGGAAGTACTATGAACTCCCTCTTGTTGGAGTGACTCAAATCTTTAGTTCAACTCCTTTTCTGACGCATTGCCCCAATAATGGGGAAATATGACCACATCCCAGAGTTGACTGGAGTGGATAACTATATTCCCTGGGAGATGCAGGTGCAGCTCGTCTTAACAAATGATGACCTCTGGTGTCACATAACTGAAAATGCAAATTTGGGCGACATTCTTGGAATGGCTTTGTTCTTGCCTGTTGCAGCTACTCCAGCTACTCCCACTGATGCTGAGAAGGCAGCTATGCGAACCTGGCTTATCAACGACTCTAAGGCAAAGACAATCATCCTTTGTAAATTCGCACATAGCATTCATCTCCTCATTCCTCAGAACACTTCCATTACAGCATGTGAAGCTTGGAAAATCCTCAAAGACCACTTCCATCATAACAATGTCAGTTCTCAATTTGTCATTTGGAGATGCATCCAGGCACTTCGTATGAAAGATGCACATGATGCAAACAACTATGTTGGTCAACACATCAGTTGCTGTGATTGCCTTATAGGCATGGGTGCTTCCTATTCTGATGAGGAAGCAGTGTTCAATATTCTAACTGGGCTGCCTTTGTCTTCTGTGTGGCAATTATTCCGCATGCAGCTTGAGCAGCACATGCATGACAGCTTCTCTGCCACAGTCATCAGTTCTGCGCTCACTGGCAGTGGGAACCCCATTACTGCTTCATTCCAAATGAACGCACTCATGTTCGAAAGCTGCACGGCACGCATCACTGCAGAAGCTTCATGCATGGTCAACATTCATCCTGCAAATGTGTCTGGTCCAGGATCTGAATATGCCAACTCCACATCCACCACATCTGCCTCCAGCATCAACTCTATCACCAGGCTCAGGAAGCACAAGAACAACCCTCAAGGTGTCTTTTGCTTGACAACTGGATGTGGGTGTGGAGATCATGACAAGGAACATTGCTATCGTGAGGGTGGAGGCATGGCAGGACAGGCACCCTGGCAGCAGAAGAAGAAAAAGGAGACTGCAGCAGTTGCATCCAGCACACCTCCTGTTCCCTCAATGTCAATGCCTGCTCCAGCACCCACTATCACTGCACTAGCCACCCACACATGCGATCTATCATGTGCAAGCATTGAAGACCTGCCTGATGAGGCCTCCAATAACAACGTCTCGGCGATTGCCCATGCATTGTCAACCATTCTTGACTCTGGCACAACCAGCACTCTCATCAGTGATCATGCCATGTTCTGGACCTACTCTACCCAGGATCCTGTCATCGTGAAGATGGCAAATCATGGCTCACTTCACACAGTCAGGATGAGGCGATTGTGTCGCTTGGCTTAAGATTGGAGGTACTTGTCATTGAGTGAGGTTCTCAAACTGTCTTCATGTGCCTGGCACCATGTTGAACCTTCTCTCAGTCGGGTGGATGCTGTCAAAAGGGTGGGAATGCAATTTTTGAGGTGACCCTGTGTGTTGTGAGCTTGTGTACAAGGGAATGTCTCTCAGCTCAGTTGCCATGTCTGGACGTCTTTTCTACATCAATCTTGAGTTCATTCCTCCTCTTGAGTCAACACCTCTACCATTGGAGCTGACCAAAGTATCTGCATTTGCATGCATTCCACTGACTTATGATATCTGGCATGCTTGCATGGGTCACACTGGCGGAGAGTCTGTCCATTGTCTTCCTCACATTGCTCATGGTGTTACCATAGACTCGAACATCGCCATGTCACACTGTGAATTGTGCATCATTGGCAAGCATCCACAGCAGCCTCATCCCACATTGCAGTCTCCTCCTGCCTCCCGTTTTTTGGAACTCATTCACTCTGATCTGTGTGGTCCCATTCTGGTCATAACTCCTCACCACAAATGCTACTTCATCATATTTCTGGATGATCACACTGGGATTCTTGCACTGGAACTGCTGGCAACCAAAGACCAAGCTTTGGAGGCTTGGAAGAATGTTCATGCGAGGTGGGAGACTTGTTCAGGTCTGCACATTGTCACCTTTTGCTCAGATAATGGTGGAGAGTTCCTGAATGACACGTTCACTGCTGAACTCAAGGCAGCTGGTATTGAATGTCAGCTTTCCTGCGCCATATGCACACCAACAGAACAGGAGGGCAGAGCGAGTCCTTCGCATGATTGAAGGACAGATGTATGCAATGTTAAACTATGTGTGGCTCCCACATAATCTATGGGGAGAAGCAGCCCTCACAGCAGTGTATTTGTTCAATCACACTGAATCTCGTGCGCTCCCTGCAGGGAAAACACCCTATGAGATGCTCCATAAAGTTAAGCCTGATCTCTCACACATTTGTGTCTTTGGTGCACACTGCTTTGCATGTATACCCTCTGAACTCCAGGAGAAATTAGGCCCCAGATCTCATGAAGCTATATTCATGGGTTATGCCCCAGATGGCCAAGCATGGCGTTGTCGTGACACGGTGACCGGTAATTTCTTTAACTCCAGGGATGTCATATTTGACAAGACTTTTTCTGGTTATCCGTTCCCAACAAACAGTGATGATTTGGATGAGGAAGATGAAGCACTGGCTCCTGCACAGTCCTTGGCACCTGTTTGTCCTTCAACTCCCACAATTCCCTTGTCATCCTCTGCACCTGCACCTTTACAAGAAGCACGTCATTCTGAACAGGCACGCATTCCCACAGCACAAGGACAGGTCTTCCAGGAGCAGTTGGCATCAGATTGTGAACGCTTGGCATGTCAGCATGAGTTGCATCAAGCACGCATTCAGGGGGTGCCTCTTGAGGGGGTGAATACTTTGCCTGATACTCCACCAGAAGGTACCACTGATGATCCAGATGCCATTGTCCCAGATGAGGACAAAGTTGGCTATCCCTGTGTTCTCACCAATCTCATTGCCACTGAATTTGCCTGTGTCACCATCCGTAGCGATGCTCATTGGAATCCTCTCACCTTGGACTACAACATGAAGATTCCACCTTCCACTTTTGATGAGGCAATGCAACGTTTGGACACCAATGAATGGCTCAATGCCATGTGCAAGGAGATCAACTTGATGTCAGAGATGAATGTGTATGAGTTGATGAAGCTTCTAAAGGGGCGCAGGGTGATAGGATGTAGATGGGTTCTCGAGTTCAAGGAGGATGTGAAAGGTGGGCCAGTGCACAAAGCTTGTCTCATCACACAGGGATTCTCGCAAGTACCAGGCATTGACTTTAGGAAAATGTTTGCACCTGTTGCACATCCATCATCCATTTGACTTCTTTCCACACATGCAGCAGCTCACGATTGGGAGATTGACAGCTTCGACGCAAAGTGCACCTTCTTGTGGGGCAAG